GGCCAACCTGCATAGGATAGACTATCTATGGAAAATGGAAAATCACTGACATGAATGTCACAGGTAATGTCAACAACTGTGAATGCGAAAGGCAGTTTTTAAAAGAAAGTTAACTTCAGTGATGTTGTTGTTATTGTTAGCTGCCATTGAGTTGTCCCTGATTCACGGTGACCCCATGAGTTACAGAATAAAATTGCTCTACATGGTTTTCTTGGCTATAATTTTAACAGAAGTGGTTTGCCAGGCTCTTCTTCCATGGAGTTGCTAGGTGGGTTTGAATTGCCAACCTTTAAGTGAGCAGCTGATTAAAAACTGCTTGTATCACCCTGGCTCCTAACTTCACAGATACCTGTGTTCAAATGCTTTTTCTCCAGTAACAACTAAGAGTCTAAAACTTTCCCCTCTTTAAAAATCAGAACATAAAAATTCCAGCATTGCTTTAGAATAGGGGTTGCAAACTCAAATACCTTTAAGGGCCTGGCAGATGGCAATGACAGCAGGTTATTTATTGTGCAATTTACATGTACTAATCCATTTAATTCTAACAACACATCTATGAGGCAAGTACTGTTATCATTCCCATTTTACATATGGGAAAATTCAGGCACAGATAGGTTAAATAACTTGCCCAGTATTACTGGTTGTAAATGGTGGTGCCAGGCAGTTTGGTTCCAGAGCCCATGATTTTAACTAGTGTTATGGATTGAACTGTGTCCCCAAAAAGGTTATGTTGAAGTCCTAACCCCTGTATTTATGAATGTTATCCTGTTTGGGAATAGGGGTTTTCTTTTGTTACTGAGGTCATATCAGAGTAGGGTGGGTCCTACGCCTAATCACTTATGAGGGGTGTCTTATAAAAAGAGCAGAATAGACACGGAGAGACACACACAGGGAAGACAAACACTATGTGAGGACTCATCTACAAGCAAAGGAATGCCAAGCATTGTTGGCAGACACCGGAAACTGGGAGAAAGGCCCAGAGAAGGAACTGATAAGGCTGAGATCTTGATTTGGACTTTTAGCCTCCGGAACTGTGAGAACATAAATATTTGTTCTTTAAAGCCATCCATTTATGATATTTTCTGTTACGGCAGCACTAGGTAACTAAGACAACCAACCACTATATACTACTTCACTATCCAGGTAATGCAAATGAGTGAGGTAGGCCAAAGTGGGCCTGTGGCAAACTGGACAGAGCAAGTCTAGTCAAAAGAGGTCAGCTATCTCACCCATTGCTGTGATGTGTGAATATGGGTGTAGCATTGTCAGAGCCTTTGATTTTTCAAAGGAAGCCAGAAATCTAGGTTTGTGTGTATGAAATTCTATCTCCCTCCCAATATAGATTTTTTAAAAATTAGCTGCCTGTGTTTATAAAACCTGTTGGGCCAAACCTAACATTCCAAAAGGTTCAATCCAGGCCACAGGCTGCAGGTTTACTTCTGAGAGCAGTTCATAGCATCTGTTATCTATATAATGGTACACGTTCACATATAATGCTGTGGAAAAATCAACTGAAGCATGTGACCATAAAACTGCCGAGGCCGATTTTTATGTGTGGTTTGTGGAAAGCAGCCTCATTACTTTATAGTCATACCTTGTAATAATCACTAGCAGGACCACCCCATGAAATGTCATGCTGAATCCATACCAGCATTATACCTAAAAATAAAAGAGCAGAACATAATACTTGTCCTCGTTGATAATCACCTCAAAAGGTTTCTGACGGAGCCTTATTTTCTTTTAATACACCATTTGGATCGATTATCTAAGAAATTATTTTAACATTTTCTGTATCTGTTTTCTCAAATAGCACTTGCATTGTACTTCTATAGCACTGTCATGCCTATTATCTCAATTTTTGCAAGGTTTAAGCAGTTTATCTATGTCTTGCCATCTAGCTTAATGGCTCAGTTTAAAATCATTACAGTTTGAAGCATTATTTTGAATTGGAAGAAGGTTAACATAACAGTAATGCTGGTCTAAGTTTAAGGGAATTTCAATAAGGGCATAAAAACTTTGTTCCCTTAAGTAGCACATTTTCTTTACTAAAGTTTTATGAGGAGACAGATTATGACATTGTGCCCCAAGAGTGCCATATATTGTGGGTGCTCAAAACATTTGTTCAAGTAATTAAATCAACAGTGCTATCAGGTTAACTTTGGATGCAGCTGTGTTAATCTGTTAACAGCTGTCTTCCCAAAGAGCATGAGAGCTGATTCAGCCTATCATAATGTCTAGGTGATCTACTGTGAAGGCCAGTCTTTCTCTGCTGGCCCCTAAATGTTGATGTTCCTGAAGCTACAGGCACAGACCTTCCCTTTACACTCTGCATACTTCTCCTGAGTAAAGTCATCTGCTCCCATGGTCTTGTTGTTAGGTGCCTTTGAGTCAATTCCGACTCATAGCAACCCTACAGGACAGAGTAGAACTGCCCCATGGGGTTTCCATGGGGCACCTAGTGGATTTGAACTGCTGACCTTTTGTTAGCAGCTGAGCTCTTAACCACTACGCCACCAGGCCTCTCCCATGGCCTTATCTCCTATTAAATGTGTGAAGACACCCAAATCATCATCTTTGACTCTGGTTTGTTTTCTAAGCTACAACTTTTACCTCTAACTGCCCCCTAGATATTACCATTCTTAATCTGAGGACACCTCAACACAACATGCTTCAAACTGAAGCTATCTTCCTCCTAATCCTGCTCCTTCTCAGGTGGTGTCTATATCAGTAAATGGGTCTACCTAATTGCCTAAGGAGCACTGGTAGCACAGTGGTTAGAGTGCTCAGCTGCTAACCAAAAGGTCAGTAGTATGAACCCACTAGCTGCTCCATGGGAGAAAGATGTGGCAGTCTGCTTCCATAAAGATTACAGCCTCAGAATCCCTATGGGGCAGTTCTACTCTGTCCTGTAGGGTTGCTATGAGTCAGAATTGACTCGACGGCAATGGGTAATTGCCTAAGTGAAAACTAGGTCAACCTCATTTCCTCTCTTAGCCACACACACGGAATCAATTACCAATTCCTAGTGATTCTACCTCCAAAAATGTATCTTCAAACTGTCTCCTTTTCTCCATTCCTACTGACACCATACCTTAGTCAGGCATCATCATGATCCAACAAAATTAGTCCTAATTTGTTACTTTTCCTTCCAATTAACTCTCCTCCCATCAACTGTGCAGCCAGAACAATCCAAGACATGAATCTGCTTAAAAGCTTTTCAACTGCCCTTAGAATAAAGTCCAAACTCCTTGTCATGGCTTATAAGGTCCTTCAAGCTGGAAATTACCTTATAAATTATACTATGAACCAAACCCGTTAATGTCGAGTTGATTCCGACTCTTAGTGACTATGTATAGGACAGAGTAGAACTGCCTCATAGGTATGGTTATGAAAGTTAAATGAGATGCTTGGCACAGTGTCTGACACATCTGATACACAGTAAATGCCTAGTAAATATTAGCTACTGTTATTATCCCTCTAGTTCATTTCTCACTTGTCTCTTGTTTCTATTCTGATTTCCATCCACGGTAAATATCTTTAATGTCTTTCTCTTACTGGGCCTTTACATAGCATTCCCCACCCCCCAATCTTCAGGTCTTATCTTAAATGGCACATCCTGGCTCCTCCTGTACCCTGTTAGGTGCCCTTACTATGTGCTCCTGCTGCCATAGCATTTGCCCCACTTTCTGGTACTATTTTTTTTTTTTCTCTTCACAGATAGATTGTAAATTCTGTGTGAAGAAGGACATGTCTATCTTGCTCACCATTGTATCCCGTGTGTAGCACAGTGCCTGGCACACTGTAGACACTCAATGAACATTCGTTATGTGTATGAATAAGTGGTACTTTATTCTCTCACACGGCCCATGTGTTCCACTCAAAGTTGTAAGTGGTAGGAAAGCACAAACTTCTTACAGCTATCAGCAAAATACATTTCTGAAAAGGCTGCCACAGGTCAAAGAACAAGGTCAAATAATACTGGGAAGCTAGGTCTAAGCAAAATCAGGGTTTCTGAAACTTACTACTTCTCAGAATTTTTTCTATGCTAAGTGTATTGTGAATTTCAGTACTGTGTAAACTTCCTCTCAAAACTTCAGCAACCATTGTTCCACGGAACACATTGTTGCAAAACCTGGTTAAGGAGATTCCTTTCCCTACTAGACCTTAAAAGTAAGGTGGTAGTTGTGCAAGAGTAAATCTCTGAAGCACTAAATCTACAGTGTTCACCGTTTTTAGGTCAGTAACCCTGGTGGAGCAGTGGTTACTCGGTTGGAACCCACCAGCTGCTCCGCGGGAGAAAAGACCTGGCGATCTGCTCCCATAAAGATTTAAGCCTAGGAAACTTTACGGGACAGTTCTACTCTGTCCTACAGGGCCACTATGAGTTGAAATATACTTGAGGGCATATGACAATAACCCTTTATGGACACAGAATCTAAGAGCTGGAAGGAACCTTAGAGATAAGTAACAAAGTTCCTTCTTTTACAGATTCGTAAATTGAGGCCCTGACGGGCAAAGCGACTGGTCCTCGGCCACACCACAACGACGTTACACAAAAGGAAAAGTTGGAAGTAGAACCCCAGTCGCCCGTTTCATCCCTGCGACTTCCACTGCGAACAATGCCTCTGGCTACTCGGATCCGCCAAGTGCTCCCACTTAAAAAAAATTTTTTTTTTGAGCCATACTAAAGGGCAGGTCAGTTTTTCTAGGCCACCCACCCCCTTAGGCCTACGGGTACTGCCCCTCCCTTCCTCTTTCTTCCTTCTTTAAGCGTGCCCCGTAATCCCAGAACAGCCGGGGCCTGGTTTGGGGCGGATGAGATCCTTTCTTTCTTATCAGTTTATTTTTGGAATCAAAACTTTTCTCTGGAAACGAAACTACCTGCGCTTAATTTCAACGTCTCCGCCTAAAACGCCTTGGGCACTATTCTCTAACCCACAGCCCACTCCATCCCACTCCCTTCCCCTCCCGGAACCAGGGGCCCTGCCGTCGGTCTTCACCTGGGACTGCCATGGCGCTGGCAAAAGGGATCGCTGGAGCCCTTGGCTCTCAAGGGCGCGCTCGCTTCCCACCAGCCGCGAGGACAGCGCACAGCCAACGCGCCCTCTTCCTCCCACCGGCGCCGCTAAACCTCCACTACCTAGTCCGGGAAGGCCCTATAAGCCTCTGGCTATAGCGGAACCAAGTAGCTGTCGATGCAGTTTCCGTGCGAGTCATATTGTAGAACACACATGGACCGAACCATTAGTGCCAGCTTCGGGGGATGGGTGTGCCCTGCATTCTCCTGTAGTGAAAGGGAACACCAACAAGATATGTATATAGTTCCTTTAAATATTTTGGTACAAATTACATTTAAGTAAGATGTTAAGACTCTTTTCTCGTTCCCGGGAAGAAATTGGAAACCCCTTCTCAGGGTTAGCGGTGCTGGAGTCCGGGAGCAACATGGCGACGTCCCTGAGGTGCTAGTTTTGGGAAAAAGTAGTTTCGGTGTTGCTGTCTTGCAGGTCATCAACTGACTTGTAACTTTCCGCGACCACCCGACTTAAGGAAACGTGCACGGGTAGGCGGACAGCTCTAGTGACCGGCGGTCAGCTCTCCTTTCTAATAAGGAGCAGAGTCCTGAGCACGGACCAGGATGAGCAACATTTACATCCAGGAGCCTCCCACAAACGGGAAGGTGAGAGCCTCACCTAGGGTACCTGGGCTCCCCAAAGTGAGACCTCCCCAGTTAGGAGACTTTGGGGTCTTACGGTGGGAAGAGACCAGAGATGTCTTTCCCTCTGCCTCCGAACACGATTGCGTCGAAAACCGTGTGTTGGGGTTGCTCAACATATACTTGAAAGGGTCTTCGGGTGGAGATTTCTCAATCTACCAACACTCTCGCCTTATTTCCTGCTCTCAGCTCATTCTGGTATTTTCTAGGGTCTCAGGTTTTTAAAAGTACATTTTAAAATTTGACATATTCTTTACTTCATTTGGAGATCTCGTTCACCATTCGTTCCACAATCATTTATTGAACGTCTGCTAGGCACCAGGCACTGCTTTATGCTCTGGGGCTACAAAGATGGGTGGGTAAGGCCTAGTTGTTGCCCTGGAAGAGTTTATTGTTTAGTTTGGGAGACAGGAATAGAAAAGAAAAACTTTATGGTCGGTGCGCTGTGGAGAGAGGAGCATATTGCTATGGCAGTACTGAGGAGTGAGGAACTGAGAAAGTTGGGAAAAGCTTCATGGAGAAGTTATCTTTTTAGCTGGTCTTAAAACATGAGATGAGTGTTAGAGTTGGGAATGGGGAATGGGGAATGTTTTCCCACATTTGAATGGGAGAATGATCCGTGATAGATTTGATGGTTAAAAAAACCCAAGCCAAACCCGTTGCCATCGAGTCAACTCTGATTTGATGGTTAAGGTATGTCAATCCCTGCCCAAGGTGTTTGTATGCAGAGTGAGGCAGAGGAATCTGCAGTCGAATAAATGTCACCTGAATTCTTGGAACTGAGACCTAGTTTATATCACATACAAAATTTGATGAACCAGCATAATGAAGAAAATAATGTGACTAAAAGTAGATAGTTGAATTAGGATAAACTAAATTTGCATAAGTTACAATTCTGTTGCATGATTGTATCGTAAATTATCCAATATTCTATTGAGGGACATTTGGTAATGTAACAAGGGCAATTTGAAAACAAGAAAAACAAAAATGCAGTAGTGGATATCTACAGCAAAAATTTTAGTGGGTATTTTGGGCAGAATAATTCTTTAAATTCTTTGTTTTTTGAACATCTCCTGGGCATTTCAGGTTAGCATTTGCTCCCTCTCCCCATGCACACATCATTGTGAAAACCCAAAATACCTACCCCCTTTGTATTTCCAAATGCTTCTTGGGGGTGATGTCACCCCAGTTGATAAACACTGGTAGAAGATTGGATAGATTGCCTGTCCTGCCAGGTAGGGCCTTCACTTATGCTATTATTTGCTCTGATATGTTCTTTTTCCTGCTCAAATATCACCTTAGCAGAGTAGTGTTTCCTACAGAACCCACTATGAAATAGAAACCTCATTCCTGCCTAGCAACTCAGCATTCTCTACCCCCTCACCCCGCCCTACCCCTTACCCTCTTCAGTGTTTTTGATAGTTGTTGTTAGGTGCCCTCCAGTTGGTGCTGACTCATAGCAACCTTATATGTAACAGAACAAATGTTGGTCGGTCCTTCGCTGTCCTCACAATTGTTGCTATGTTTGAGCCCGTTGTTGCAGCCACTGTGTCAGTCTATCACATTGAGGTCTTCCTCTTTTTCACTGACTTTACCAAGCAAGATGTCCTTCTCCAGAGTCTGGTCCCTTCTGATAACATGTCCGAAGTAAGGAGCACTCTGGCTGTACTTCTTCCAAGACAGATTTGTTCGTTCTTCTGGCAGTCCATGATACATTCAGTATTCTTCGCCAACACTAGTGGTTTATAAGCTGGTTATTACACACCTCAGGGGGGTGTACAAAACCATCCAGCGAGTATAGGAAGAAAATCTTCATACTTCTATTTGTATTTATTTTCTCCTTTAATTTTTTAAATGTCATGTTTTATATGTATGAAAGAACATAAGCAATGATCATTGGAGATCATTGCTTTACAGTTACAAGGAAGAGAAGACATGTCCAGGTTCCCTTTAACAATAGTGCTTTATTTCAAGTATGTTATTAGGTGCCATAGAGTCGATCCTGACTCATAGTGACCCCATGTGACAGAGTAGAACTGCCCCATAGCGTTTTCTTGGCTGTAATTTATGGAAGCAGATCATCAGGTCTTTCTCTACAGAGCCACTGACCTTTCAGTTAGTGGCCTAGCACTTAACTGTTTGCACCACCAGGGCTCCTTTAAGTATATAAGGGGAAAATGAAATAGGACAGGCATTATCTTTTTAGGTATACTGGGATGTACATCAGGTCCGTGGAAAATCAGATGTTGCGCAGTGTTGTTCTAGATACAGTCTGAGGTGGAGGGAGTTACTCAGCCTCTCAGTTTGCATTCCAACTGTATGCTTCCCGAGAGACTGAGAATCCAATTGGGTTGGTTTGTCACCATATGGAGTGTCTCTTTTGGGCATTGTTTCGTACTACGCCAAGTTAAAAGGTTGCTTATATCCAGCCAATATATGCTTGCCTTTGACTTAGGCACTGATCCCTATTCAAATCAGTTGTGTTCAGAGTAACCTGGAGATTTCTCTTGAGATATATGGCAGGGCCAGGTAGCGTTTGGCTCAAGCCATTCACTGTGTCAAGTACCTCAGATAAGTTACTTTATCTGAGTCTCTGTTTCTTCATAAGTAAAATGGAAGTAATGATACCTTGTGGGTGAGGATTAAATGGGATGAGACATGTAAAGTGTTGGACACAGAAGCTGACACATGGAAAGCATTTAACAAATGCCCCCTTTTTGTAAAGGAAGTTGAGTGGATTGAGAAAATTGTGCATGTTGCATTTCTAGTTCTTTTATATTTTTTTTTAGAGTTAAGGAAACCATTTTAAAAGCTACCACAGTATAGATATTTTCACTCCCCCCACCCCATGGTTGTTGAAGAAGAGAACTATGTAGCCAGTAAAAGCCCCAAAAGATACAATGATTTCATCAATGTTATATAAATTTATTGCCGTATATCTAGGCTTCTGAAAAAGAAATTCAAAGGCAATGTGTTGTAGTAAAGGCATTGCCCTGGGAGGGAGGAGAAAACCAAAAAACCAAACCCATTGCCATCAAGTCGATTCCAGCTCATACTGACCCTGTAAGGACAGAGTAGAACCACCCCCCTAGGGTTTCCAAGGCTGTAATCTTTACGGAAGTTGACTGCCACATCTTTCTCCCGCGGAGCAGCTGGTGAGTTCAAACCTCTGGTCTTTTGGTTAGCAGCTGAGTGTTTTAACCACTGCGCCATCAGGGCTACTTGGGAGGGAGGAGAGCCAAGTGCTATTTCTGCTTTGTCATTAACAAACTCTGATTAGGGACAATTTACAATCTCTCTGGGTCATCTGTAAAAGGTGAGGACTGATTTGAATGATTTTAAAGCTTCCTTCCGGTTCCAAAAAAGTATGCTTGTGGAAATCAGGTAAATGAGTTTTGGAAAATAAAAAGTGTGATTTATATCAATGATATTGGCTTCCCATGAAAATAGCCTCATTTTAATAAAAGTTACATTGTATCATCTTTATTTGCAAGAATATTCTAAATGCAGTAGTCACAAGTTATGTTACTGATCTGCTTTGAGACACTGGGGAAAAAATAAAACAGTGATACTGGAGAGATTGGACTCCAGCTGTGCCACAGTGTTCAAATTTTGAGCCTGACCTTCTTTTTGGTTATTAATAAGACAGTTATAAGCTGTTTCCTCAGCTTATAGGGGTTTTGACTGTTGTTGCAGCACAGTTGGTCCCACTACGGAGTAACTGTCTATGAGCTGATAGAAAGGAGGCTATCAAATGATTATATTTAATATAGATGATTTTTAAGGCATACCATTTTAGTAAATACTAAACCTAGAATTAGATTAAAAATGCTCCTTTGTAAATTAGGAATAGCATGATTTTAAACGAGCAAGTAGAATGTTTATACGTAAAAGGATAATTTTAAAATTGTCTTAAAGTGTCGCAATTTCATTGCTGTCTAATTTCTTAATTTTCTGCACCAATTTTATTGGAAGTGACACAATGGGAAACTTTCTTGATTATAAAAAGTTTGAATCATTGGTTTTTAAATGAATAAAATGTGATTAAAACAGGTACATGGTTTTTTTTCTTAAATCCTAGATTATTTCTGAAAATATTATGTTGAAAGACATAAATGTACAATGAATTGTAGTGAATATTTGAAATTTTGGTGAGTATTACAACAAAAGCCAAGCAAAGTTTCTGATTTTTATTTTAAAACCCACTAGTGAATGCTACAAATTGAACAGCCATTTAACTGATTATCAAGCAAAATGATAATTTAACGTAACAATGTAATATTCCTTCTACAGGTTTTATTGAAAACTACAGCTGGAGATATTGACATAGAGTTATGGTCAAAAGAAGCTCCTAAAGCTTGCAGAAATTTTATTCAGCTTTGCTTGGAAGGTAATCATAACTTTTGAGTTTTATTCAGTAGGGTGAATTTTTGTTAATTTAAAAATAAACTGCAGTGTATTTTTTCACAACATTGAAGACTAGTGTTAAATTGATATGAATGGTATGATGTTGAGCTATGTGTCAGGAAACAGAGAGAGGAAAATTATTCCCCGAATAAATCTGTATACTTTTAACAGAAAAATTTATCTCACTGAAGAATACTTTGATCCTTTTTGGTCTCCTTTGCTAGCTTCTTCTTTCTTTCATCCTCTAAATATGGGTGTTCCCGAAAATTGCCTCTAGGTCCTTATTCTCTTCGCTCTTCAGTTTTTACCTTCATCCAAATGACTATTAAATTTAAAACTCCAGCCATTTCTTCTTTCTTAGGTCCAGTTTTACATTTCCAATCGTCTAGTGAACTTTTATACTTGAGCCTGTTACTGTCAGCTCCAACTACCAGTTGCTGTAAAGTCAATTCTGACCCATGGCGACCCCATGTGTTACAGAGTAGAACTTTGCTCCATAGAGTTTTCATGTTTATGACCTTTTGGAAGCAGATTGCCAGGCCTTTCTTTCTGGGTGCCTCTGGATAGGTTTGAATCACCAACCTTTCGGTTAGTAGCTGAGTGCTTAACTGTTTGTGCCACCCAAGGACTCCCAGCTCCAACTAAACTAGTATGAAACCAAACTTAATCAATATCTTCCCTAGACTGCTTTGACTTTCACCTGCGTGACTGCAATTACCTTTTACTTGGTCTTCCTCTCTCTCATTGTTAATCTCTGTACCCTCTTATTTATTCATTTGGTATTTGAATCCTTAGGCAGCATGACTCCCTAGCTTTCTAACTTTATTTCTCATTGCACCCACCACATGGTTTCGATGGACCATTCTCTTTATTTCCTGAGTAGTTCCTTCTCATTTCCACTTTCAGCATATCCTCATAGTAGTTCTCCTTTCTGGAATACTTTCTCTTCCTTTCTTTACTCTTCAGTCTTACCCGTTTTTAAATGGCTGCTCAAAATTCCACTTTCTCCATGAAGCTTTCCATCCAGCCTTCAGTGATGTTATTATGAATATCTGTAATATTTTTTACATTTAAGTTGTATAGTGACTATTTTTCTTTTTATAAAAAGTTTGCAGAATTATATATCTACCTGAGTGTTTTTCTGTTCAGAATATTCTCTTAGGGAAACTAAACATTCCACACACTTTTGGAGCTTCTTGTTGGCTTTTAGAATACACTGCATATGGTTTTGTATATCTGTAGTGGTAAATCATTGTCCTTCAAATTTATATCTGATTTTTAGAGACAGACAAGGTTATTCAAGGTATCAGGAAACAGCATTTTGAGTCAGAAGCAAGATGTGAAACAGAATCCAAAACAACTAGTAGTAGGGTACAATGAGAGCTCTCCAAATACATAATTAGGTAAATATATAATTTACCAGGGGAAGGTTTAAGGAATAAAAAGTACCTAGACCAAAAAAAGAAAAAAAACAAAACTCCAGAAAAGAAAAAGAGAAAAGACATCTGCAAACACCATTATTAATAATTGCTATGTCAGGCAGGAAGGAAATAGAGCCAGACAGGTGGTTCAGTCAGAGAATCCTCAAATAACTGTCAAGAGAGCTGAGAAACACAGGAGACACAGAAAAGTCAGACCTGTTTCTGGAAAGAAGTTTTAAAGAATTAAAAGCTCAAATTTTACAGAAGGAGAGTGAAAGTACATAAACATTAGAAAGAATGAATGGTAAATTGCAATCTATGACCAGGTGAATGGAAGAAACAGAAAACATCTGGATACAATATGACAATGAAAAAGAAATGAGGTTCATAAATGATGTTGAAATTCAATGACAACAAAAAAATTATTTCCGTATTTTTAAGACTAACCAACTAAGTGTATAATTCAGTGGCGTTTAGTATGTTCACAGTGTTGTACAATCACCACTTCTATCTAGTTCCAAAACATTTTCATCACCCCAAACAAAAACTTCATACCCATTAAGCAGTCACTCCCTGTCCCTTTCTCTCCCAGCCCCTGGCAACCACCAATCTGTATTCTGTCTCTGTGGATTTACCTATTCTGGATATTTCATATATTTCACTTAGCATAATGTTATTGAGGTTCATCCATGTTGTAGCATGTATCAGTACTTCATTCCTTTTTTATGGCTGAATAATATTCCATTGTATTTATATACCACATATGGTTACCCACTCATCCGTTGATGAACATATGGGTTATTTCCAGCTTTTGGCTATTTGAGTAGTGCTGCAATGAACATTCATATACAAGTATTTGCTTGAATACCTGGTTTTAATTCTTTTGGGTATATACCTAGAAGTGGAATTGCTGGGTCGTATGGTAATTCTATATTTAAATTTTTGAGGAACCTCCAAACTGTTTTCCACAGTGGCTATAGCATTTTACATTCCCACCGGTAATGTATGTGGTATTTCATTGTGGTTTTAATTTGCATTTCCCTGATGACAAATGATGTTGAACATTTTTTCATGTGCTTGTTGACCATAATTGCTACTTTTTAATAAAAACTCTCTGATCTAGTCAAACCCTAATTCTTACCCTTCCACCTCCACCAAATTCTTTGCTCATGCTTCGCCTCCTTGAGATGTCGTGCTTCTACCATACCTAAGTTAACTTCTTCCTCCTCCATGAAGTCTACCTGATGTTCTGGGTTCCAGATAATAAGTACTACAGTATGGAAGATCATATATGATCTCTTCTGTATGTTTACAGATTCTAAATTATGTATTTATATATATATATAAATAATTTTTTCTATCATTTAACAAACTGAGAGTCTAACTGAACTCAATTATATATTGTTTTATTATTCGTCTGTTTTATTTATTGGAAGTTTCTTGAGAGTACATTGATGTGCTAGACATATAATCAACTAATTTTGATATATTGTGGTTTTGTATATGGTTTATATATTAATTTTCTATGAGGAGAAGAGGAAGAAGTAGGAAGTAAGGCATTAATTTCTACCAGAGTTTCTCAACTCAGCACTACTGACATTTGGGGCCAATAATGCTGTATTGTGGGGGCTATCCTGTGCATTATAGGATGTGTAGCAGTATCGTTGGTCTCTATCCACTAGATGCCAATAGCATCCCCCAGCTGTGATAACCAAAAATGTTTCCAGTGATTGACAGATGTTTCCTGGAGGACAAAATTGTTCCCCTCCCTCCAGTTGAAAACCACTGATCTATACCAAAATTCTAATATTTATTTTGAAAACTGTAATCCAGTGTTTGAGAGAATCCTGGAAATAAAAACAAAACAACAACTATGGTTTCTTGTAGAGGTGTATGCTGTTTTGTGTAGATAGTCTGTTATTAAGTAGGGAAGAAAAGGTTTCAGTTTGGGAGACTATTAACGTTCTGAAAAAAAAATCTTGTGGCTCAAGCTGTATTAACTCTGATAACTATTAATGCACTGTTTCAAACATTAATAAATTATTAAAAAATTTTTTTCAGCTTATTATGACAACACTATTTTTCATAGAGTTGTACCTGGTTTTATAATCCAAGGGGGAGATCCTACTGGCACAGGGACTGGCGGAGATTCTATCTATGGGGCCCCATTCAAGGTGAGACTGAATTATTATTGTTATTTATCTGCAGTTCAACTTGGATTGCTTAATTGAAAATGATTGTACCCCACGAGAAGAAAAAACACTTCACATTAGTACCAAAACCAAATGTCTGTCACATGTTTAGGATTGTACAGAAGTAAGACCAATACTTTATCTATAAAGCATTTTTTTTTTTTAGTTGTCTTATGATAGACTATTATGCTAGATTGAATTCAGGTGGAGATAGAAGTGGCTGTGAGGGAAATGCGAATTAGAAAAAAGACTGTATGGCATACTTCCCCATGTCTGACTGTATCTGATCTCTACAGCTCTGTAAAGGTAAGTTTTCAGAACATTGCATATGCTATCTTATTTTAAAACACTTTATTTAGATACTACATGTATTAGGGTTGCTATGAGTCAAAACCGACTTGGCGGCACCTAACAACATGTAATTCATTCTAAATTGTACACAGTAGACCACTATAGCACAAAATGCATGCTAGAATGAAAATGACAAGGAGAACAGAAGAAAGAAGCAACGTTAAAAAATTTTTTTTTTTTTAAAAAGCTATATCAATCAAGAACAGGCCTGTGATTTAACTGCCAATATAGATCTAAGAACAAAAAGAGTTAAATGTCATAGATAATATGTTTAGAATAACAGTGGGTTCAAGTAAAAGCTAAAAGTTGTGGTTTTATTAATTTGATGGCACCAATATCATGTTCTTTGAATGAAGAAACATTAATAGCTTTTAAAATATAGGCGTTTTTGAAGGCTTTGTGTTTATACTGATTGAATAGAGTGTCTAGAGGGAGTGTCCTTTCATCTTTTCCTGGGTCACTGAGTGATTCTCGGGAAAAATACTGGAACTGTTTGGTTTAATTTTCAGATGACAATGGCCTTAGAAAATATGGAATGGCTATTAGAAAGTCTCAAATGTCACTGGTATACTATTTTATATTTTACCAAAGCGAGATGTCTCATGATTTTAAAGCCTCCATCTAGCAGGAAGCATTCCTTTATCCTATTGTTTGGTGTAACAAAAGAGCTCTTTTTGATGATTCCTTCCTAACTTGTAATTTTTGCTTGATTATTTTAGGGTTTTACAGTTATCTTGTTAAGTTTTTTAATTAGGTCATTTTTAATATAATATAATGTAAATATTCCAGACAGGATTCTTTGAGTACAGCTGTCTTGAGAATCATTTATTGAGGACAAATAACTTCCTTTATGAAAAGCATTGATTACATAACATGGCTGCATTATGAATGAGTCCAGTTCCAGGTCTGTATAGAAATTCTGTTAACTGAGAGATTAGTGTGTATGTTATGTAACCCTTCCATATCAAGAAAGAAAAAAAAAAACCATATCCATTTCTATCGAGTCAATTCTGACTCACAGTGACCCTATAGGACAGAGTAGAACTGTCCCATAGGGTTTCCAAGACTGAAATCTTTACGGAAGCAGACTGCTACATCTTTCTTCTGAGGAGTGGCTGGTGGGTCAAACTGCTGACCTTTTGGTTAGCAGCTGACTGCTTAACCATTGTGCCACCAAAGCTCGCATATCAAGAAGACCACCTTAAAAAGGCTTACTTCTGCTCCTTTGAAAATTGGCAAATGGGAACAGTGTCAATTTAGAGAAGATTCAACTTCAGAGTTTTAAAACACCACGGTAAAATTACATAACAGTCATAGTAGATTGCTTAAATTAAAAAGCAAGAAGAACACAATTATTCGTGACAATTTGAATGAAGGTGGGAAGGGGCAATACTTAAAGATTCCCTGATGGTTTGAAGGTGATTTACTTGGAGAAATAATAGAAGGTTCTAAAATCTTAGATGACTTTGAGGGATGGAAAGAATAGGGAAATAACTCTTAAAGATCTGTTGCCCACCATTTGTAGGTAGGCAACTTTCCACAAAATAGGATAAATTGACTAAAAGTAAGTATTTTTAGAGATACATAAAGGATAGTAAAGTCAAGTATAGTAGCATTGAAGGAATAGTAAATATTGGATTTGATCACACTTGAAAATCAATTAAAGAACAATATTTCATTTTTGTTAGAAGTTGTTTGGGACCTTGCTCTTCAACTGATGAAATATGAAGGCTCATATTATAACTGAGGTCATTCACTAAACCTTTTCCTTTTTATGCTTCAGGATGAATTTCACTCACGGTTGCGTTTTAATCGAAGAGGGCTGGTTGCCATGGCAAATGCTGGTCCTCATGATAATGGCAGCCAGTTTTTCTTTACACTGGGTCGAGCAGATGAACTTAACAATAAGCACACCATCTTTGGAAAGGTTAGTGTCCAGTTATCTTCAACCTGTGGTTTGGTTTATTATATTATTCTTTAAGCTTCTATAATATACATGATCAACTTATCTAAGGGCTGCCTTTATAAAAATATTCCCTAAAGTATTTAGTTATTATTCCTAAAAGTGATGGAATAGATTTCTGTTATAATGAACTATGAACGACCATTTATATTCTTTTCTGTGTGTTTCAAATTAATCATGGTTTTTACTCTAAAGTTTATTTTTTTAATCACATTAATGGCACATGCACACTCCTCACTTATTAACATGGTTAAATTCCAAAGACCAGGTTGTTACGCGAAAGTCAGCATTATGCGAAATGGGGGATTTATTTTTCTGTTTTCAGACCATCCATTTGTCCGATTATTTTTTGAAGAAAGTATGATCATGGAAATAATAACAGCTAAAATTTACTGATATCCTCATCACTGTGATGAGTCCAGTTACAGATTATTTCTAAGTGGAAAAGGAGGCTTGGAGGAGACAAAGCTGGATAAAGCCGGGCTGTGTGATTGGAGGGCCCAGGGCTTAACCGCTTCACCTTCCTCCTCTGCTGGGTCAGAGCTTCCCTTGCAGAGCCACCTTCAAAGCTCCACTCCCACCGCTGCAAGCCCTGCATTCATGATCCCAGAGCCTTCTCTTCCCTTGGGGTCTGGAGAGTCACCAAGGCTTAGGGCTTCCTGTGAGGGTGCTGGGAACCTGGCCGTGCACCCAGCCCCACCAGGGTGGATGCTTTAGGGCCAGTTTGGCTCACTTTGGGATGTCATTAAACTTACCCACATTTCTTTCAAACACCCTCTCCGATGCCTCTTTCTTTTTTTCCCCTTCCAACCCCACGGCGATTTTGAGCTACAGGGCCTCAGGCCTCATAGGAGCTGAGAACCCGGAACAAGTGCCCACTGACTCAGTGCTGCCTATGCATCTGCCCAGACACCCTGGCCATGGAGGAGGCCGGCCACGCGTGGCAGCTGAACGTTCCCCCTGCTGGCAGAAGGGAGCAGAGGGCTCAAGGCAGCATGGCCCAGTTTCCCGGAGGCTGACCCCTCAAGAGACGGGACACTCCGTAGTCGTTGCTGCCATGGCTGCATAGTTAATGTACAAAATAGTCGCATAGTAGATTTTTTTACTATTGTTGTAAATGCAAAATGTCAGGTAACGAGATAGTTGATAAGTGAGGAGTAGGTGTATTATGTGTACGATGTCACTAAGCCAAAATTGTTTTCACATTTTTAGAAAGCCACCTAAGTAATAACATTACTAGTTTAAGATTTATTTTATAAATGACGAATTCCCTTAAGTATAAGTGGAAGTTGTATTGACAATGAAATTTTTTACTGGAAATATTATTTTGAATAAAAACCCAAAAACCAAATCAATGAAGTCAATCCTGACTCATGGCAACTGCCGTGTGTTTCAGAGTAGAGCTGTGCTCCATGGCATTTTCATCCTGCTAACATTTAATGTCATATCAGAGAATGTTCTTTCTATGGAATTTTTAATAATTTTCCTTAAAAGGGATCCTGAAGGTCTTTTTTTCCTCTCACTCTTCTCCATTTCCGTAAGTGTATTTTTATGTATTTCATTTCTTAGGCAATTTAGACTCGACTAGTGTATTAGCTCCCTCTGCTGGCTCTATAAGAATGGTTTCCCCATATCCTAGGCAAAACTGGATTTTGTGATGTTGGAAGGGGAAGAAACACAATTAGCACAATTGAAAAAACTAGTGTTGTTTAAAAACTCTTGAAAAATGTTGAATGAAAGGAGTCGTGCTAGAATTGTAATATTGTTGCTTAATAGGTATTTGACAACATGGTTAAAAAGTATGCATTGGCAGGTTCTTCCTAGCTATTCCACTGTAGGTAATCTGATGTTCATAGAAATCCCCCCTATTATTTCTAAAAAATAAGAACCTGCTGCTGTTGAGTTGCTTCTGACTTATAGCGACCCTGTAGGAGAAAGGAGAACTGCCCCATAGGGTTTCCAAGGCTGTAATCTTTCCAGAAGCAGATTGCCACATCTTTCTCCCGAGGAGCCACTGGTGGATTCAGACTGCTGACTTTTCAGTTAGCAGCCCAGCACTTTAACTACTGTGCCACCAGAGCACAGTATATAATAACATGGTGCCATTCTTATCATTTTTTACAGTTGATTCTATATAACTTACACATTTGAAACAAAATATAATATAGTGGTTAGAAGTCAGAAGGGATGTCAGTGTAGGCTCTATATCTTCTTTGAGCTTCAATTTTCTTATCTGTAGAAGGAGGATAATGATAGTAACTACTTTTATGATGTTTGTGAGGATTAAAGAGATAAAGTTTACAAAGCATTTAACACATTATTCTTGTTATTTTTATTAATTGTTTATTCTACTCTATTCTCAAGTCTGAATTTTTTATGATATTTGAATAAAAAGTTGTCACTCAGTAGGAGGTGTTTTTATTTTTTATAAAAAACTTATCGGATGCTTGAACTCCATCCATGCTTTTTCTCCCTTAAGATGAAGTTGCTTTATTAAATGCATATGCTCTTATATAATTATATTCTTCTCTAATTATTTTAAAAATATTTTTTAAAGTTCTTCCTTAATTCAAAGGATGAATGTGATATATTTGCCATTAAACGTTCTTTCTCATGTGATAGGTGACAGGGGATACAATATATAACATGCTGCGACTGACAGAAGTAGACATTGATGATGAAGAAAGACCACGTAATCCACACAAGATAAAAAGTTGTGAGGTAGGAGCATGATCATTATGAGATGCAGCCCTTAAATTGTCATTTCAGAGGAATTGATTATTAGTATTTTTAAACTGTTGGATGAAGGCTTTATTTATACAAAATTACTAACACAACTCCAATTTTATCTCTGTAATTTATTTAGGCACAATTTCTGATTAGGATTTTTTTTTTAAATTAAAAGGTTTGAACTCAAAGTTGAAACTAGAGCTGATAATCCAATGAATAAAAATGGAAAATTAGAGAAATTAGGTTTATTTAGCCCAGAGAAGTGATGTGATAGCTAATTTAAGAGTGATCCTTCATTGAGGAAGCGAGGTTGTTAACAGCATTTGATTTGGAGTCGAAACACCTGAGTTTGTCTCTCTTCCTGTGTATCATTTAAGTTTTTTTTTGAATATTTTTGCCTTTTGTAAAATAGGGATGATATCTTCCTTACTTAGTAACAATAGGATTATGAGTCTCTCTCCAATGAGACTAAGTGGAAACACTCTATGCTGTGTGTGTGTGTGTGTGTGTGTGTGTGTGTGTGTGTGTGAGATATATATGCTATATATACGTCACTATGCAAGTAACGGTTATGTGGGGAAAAATGTATACACTAAGATCAGTACAATTAAATATTGGTTTTAATTTTTCATGAAATTAAAAAATTGAAATAATGTTTTCAAATATTTCTTTTCATAGGTTTTGTTTAATCCTTTTGATGACATCATTCCAAGGGAAATTAAAAAGCCGAAGAAAGAGAAACCAGAGGAAGAAGTAAAGAAATTGAAACCCAAAGGCACAAAGTAATCATAGTAGAAAGATTTTTCTTCAGCTTCAAACGCAATGCTAATTCATTTAGTTCACTTTAGTTCCTTATGTAACAGTTGTTCACCAGTTAGGGAAGGGCCATTTGGAATGAAGAGGATATCTGAATTTAGTGTTTTTTTCTAAATGAGCATTTTTTGCACTCAAGTACAATACAACTTAAGCTAAAATATCTTGTCTCAGAAGTCCATATGAAATCTGTGTTAACAAGTAATAATTTTATAACCACAATACCAAATATTTATATAGATGAGTTGTTGAAATCTTTTTGCTTTTGTTTTTTAGTTGTTTTTAAATTAGTATATGCTCACTATAAAGAACATGGAGCCCTGGTGGACAGTGGTTAAGAGCTCGGCTGCTAACCAAAAGGTCAGCAGTTTGAATCCACTAGCAGCTTGTTGGAAACCCTATGGGGCAGTTCTACTCTGTCCTATAGGGTCGCTATGAGTTGGAATCGACTCATTGGCAATGTGTTATAAAGAAGATGGAAAATGAACTGTAAAGGATATTTTTAGTAACTATATGATGCATAATTTAACTTTTCACTCCTTTTTTTGTTGCTATTAAAAAATAACCTTATTATAAATATATTTATATATGAAGCTGTTTCAGTATTATGGATTATTTCCTGAGGACAGTTTTCCAAAAGTAGAAATTTTTGAAATAAGTTTCAGTATTTTGTGGACAATGTTTTTTACATTATTAATTTTGTCTGTTTTATTAAAATTTTATTAAAGAGTTCAATTTACTCTTTTATTGAATTGTAGCATCCACATCAGAGATTTTATTGTACTTATAAAATCTAGAGAGTTCTGCATGTAATCCTGTCTAACACAGTTAATAAGAAGCAAAGTTCATTAATCTTTCTGAGCTTCAGTTTCCTCACCTTGTAAAATGGAGATTATAATAACATCTGGTTTTTATGAGGGTTAAATGAGAAGGGGTATGTGAAAACACCCACTAGAATATTCAATACATATTAGTTTCTTTCCTTGATATCCTACAAAATAAGTAAGTTGCTTTTTTAAAATGTCAGACGTTAGATACTTTAATAAACATTTGATGCCTTGTGGCAAAATAATTTCTTATATAGCTATATATTTGATAGCCTTTTATTTATTTTGACTAATTTATCTCTGGGTGAAAGATCACTATCATATTCAGATATAATATTTCATCACTATGATTTACCTTGGCAAGAGGCTCAAATTTTTTGGTTTCTGTTTTTTCAAATTTACAGCAAATATGTTTTAGGGATGATGTGGTGATCATTAATTGCATCTAGCTTTAAAAAGAAAAAGAAAAACCCCTCTTTCATTGTCAAATCTTTTATTTTCTCAGTGTTTGTGAGAGAGTTTTAATAACTTGTCATTTATCTTACTTGGGATTTTCTGCTTTATTCTGAAGGATCCAAGGAAATAAACTGAGTTTTTTCTTCCCATGAGCTATTTTTTAGTTAAGTTTACTGCTTAAATTTTTTTATCTGACAATTTTTTATAACTTATTATTTTAAAATATTAAGACTTTCTGGCAGATATTAGATTAATTGCTTTCCATTCATAGTGTTCTTGAGGCCATACATTTATTAGTTTTTTAGGAATCTCCATTTTGCTACCAGTTTTGATAAAAAGCTGGACTATTTCTGTCATTCTCAACTCAGTACACTTAACGGTAGTGCTCAGGATGAATCTTTGGTCATTTGCCTAGCAAATATGAAACATCTGTGGTCTAAAGTCAAAGCCTTAATGCTTCAAATGATAGCAAAAACATAGATCCTTTGTATATTTCTGCTAAGTACGAGATAATACACCCACTCCTCACTTATTGACATGGTTAGGTTCCAAAGACCAGGTCATTATGTGAAAACCAGTGTTATGTTAAAATGGAGGCTGAGTACATCATTGTATAGCTGCTAAGTTACATCATTACATAACTGCCAAACCGCTGAGAATCATGGCCAGTCAAGTTGACACGTAATCTTAACCATTGCTCTCATCTCATACCTCAGCATTTGCTAGTGCCAGACCTATGTCATTAATGCGCAAAATAATCAGAGAGTAGATTTTTTACTACTGTTGTAAATGTGAAATGTCAGATAATAACAAGATAGTTGATAAGTGAGGAGTAAATATGCTGTCTTTTGTTAAAGAGAATGTTTTTATTTTTGTAAATTCTATTTCTTTGAAAATAGATTGATAACTTTTTATTCCTTTTTTTATTCCTTTCGTTCCTTTTCCTTTTTTTTTTACTAGAAATTTTAGTTTACTTTCATTTGGAGAGGAAGCTGAGGAAGAAGAGGAGGAAGTAAATCGAGTTAGTCAGGTAAAACTCTAACTTGCCCTTTGTTTTGAATTATGAAAGAGATTAGAGTCTATATCATACTCATTTTGTATCTCTTACTGTATCTGACATGGCACATTTTACATGGTACACACACTCAGTGTTTATTGAATTGCTTAATAAAATGATTGTGGTCTCATATTTGCAACTTCTTAAAATTCTAGTTTTTTTATCCTGGCATTTTTTAATCAGAACAAGAGTTAATGTTTTTTGAATGGTTCAACATTATAATTCAGATTTTAACAGCTATTTGGTTAATTATTTTGCTGGATGATAGTGATTATTATTACCATTGTTGTAATAAAGAGTCACAGACCAAAACTGTTGTATTCATTTTGATGTTATTTATACATATTTGTTTGTGTCATTAATTTTTATCACAGCCCTTTGAGATAGGTACTGTTATTATCCGCATTTTACCTATGAATAAATTAAGATACAAATAATTTAGGATTTGCTCAAAATTGCATAACCAGTAAGTAACTAAAGCTGGGATTTGAACCCAAGTCTTTTAAACTGAAGTTCATGTCTTTGGATTATTACATTGCTTCCTGGTCTTTTACCTCACTAGTCCTTCCCATATACCTTTAAGTGTGGTTTTCCTAAATACCATTTTTATCACAGTACTCATTGCTGAAACACCTATAGTGCCTTGCCATTGTTTAGAAGAATGATTCTAATATGTACACCCCAAGATAATTATTTTCAAGGGCTTTTACCCCCAAAGATTCTGATATGCTTTCTTTTCTTGAAAATTGCTGAGCACGGAGACCTAAAGGATTAGCTTCATTGAAAGTCTTTATTGTAATAATTAATCCTATAACCTAACACTACCATACTTACCTAACATAGTCGCCTATTTTTTGCCAATGCTAACAATTAAAATTGACTAGAAAGCACATTATTGTCCCCTTGTCTTTACTTCTTTATCCATGTACTTCACCAGTGAGCATGGTTTTGGTAGGCTAATGTTGTATATGTAGAGAGCACTCTACTTGTACCCCTTGCATTAAAATGGAATTAAAATAGGAAAGCATAAGAGATATTTTGGTCATAAGTTCTTCTCCCTCTTTACAGATACTTGAGTGATCTATTTGATACCATGGATTCAATTACCACTTAGGCTGACATTCTGAACTCTAGGAGACAAGGCCAAATATTTCTTCTGGATGTTATTATCCCTCATTCTGAGTTGCCTTTAGGAAGCATCTCTACTTTGGATATCAAAACTAAGTTCATCTTTACATGCAAACCTCCTTTCCCTATTCCTTGTCAGCATCAGCAGTCACTCTGTCACTACAGTATCTCAGGAGTCATCTTTCCATTCTTGTTTTTTACCAGCTACATCCATTTAGTTTCATGTTTGCATTTTTCTGTGTCTGCCTGTGTTAGTACCTCTATTTAGTAGATTCTCAGTAAATATTGGATGAATTAATGTTTAAGTGTTATTGATCCTGCCTTCTAAATATTTTTTGAACTTACTCTCTAATTCTCCTGTCACTATCACTGTCTTAGCTCCAATCCCTTTTTGTTTCCAACCTGGACTTTTGTAGTGAACTGCTCCTTTCAGACTCTTTCTTCCTGTAATTCATCCTCCACCCTGTGACAGAGTGAAGTTTCTAAAATGTAAATCTGATCACATTTCCCTCTCACTCCCTTTCTCCCTCTTTCCTCTACCTCTCTCTGTTTTCCTTTCTTCCTCTGTCTCTTTCTTTCATTTATTTCACTGCTTAAAATCCCCTTGTGACTCACTTCTGTTTTTTGGATAAAGTCTAATTTCCATAACCTGCCGTACAAAGCCCTTCTTGCTTTCACCTCTGCTGACCTCACTAGCCACATCTCCCAGTGCTTCTCTGCTTGCACTCCACCATACTGACCTGTAGGAGAGCCTTGTCCTTTGTGAGGAGTATATCTCAAAGCATTTGGAAAGTAGTGAGAGTGAAGCAATAAAGCATTTTGAACAGTGCTGATTTGGAATGATGGGTAAAGAATAACAAAGTCTCATTAAGATAGTCATATGGCCAGTCAACCAGACTCCTTTACTAAGTAGTTCATTCCTGAGCGACAGTCTTGCATATTCAGGATTCAGATCTGTGCTTCAGCAAAACAAAAAATTTACTATATATTATGGCCATGTGAGAATAATTGTGAATGGACAAAACCCATAAATGGTAGATCTGGGAATTGCCAGGGTTCCCTTTCATTAATGTTTTCCAAATATGTCAAGTTTCCTTGTGTGCCCATTCGTTTTTCCCAACCTTCCCGCTCCACCATTTTTTCTTTTGCTTGGAGTATGCTTTCCTTTAGTTGGCTAACTTTTGTTTTCCTTTAAGATTTAGCTCCACTATCACCTCCTGATTATCTCCACTCCCTTCCCCAGTCAACTCCCCACCCAAGCTGTGATATTAAAAAAAAAAAAAATCAAACCCGTTGCCAAGGAGTTGATTCCGACTTATAGCAACCCTATAGGACAGGATTGAACTGCCCCATAGGGTTTTCAGAGAGCAGCTGGTGGATTCGAACTGCCAATCGTTTTTTGGGTAGCAGCTGTAGCTCACTGTAGCTCTTAACCACTGCACTACCAGGGCTCCAGAAACTGCGATAAGCACTTCTTTTTTTCTTTTTTTTTTTAGAGGAAGGTTTACAGAACAATCTAGCTTCTCATTAAACAATTAGTACACATTTTGTTTTGTGACATTAGTTACCAACCCCATGACATGTCAACAGTCTCCCTTCTCAACTTTGGGTTCCCTATTACTAGCTTTCCTGTCCCCTCCTGCCTTCTAGTCTTTGCCCCTGGACTGTTGTGCCCGTTTAGTCTCATTTTGTTTTATGGGCCTGTCTAATCTTTGGTTGAAGGGTGAACCGCAGGAATGACTTCATCACTGAGCTAAAAAGTGTCCGGGGGCCATACTCTCAGGGTTTCTCCAGTCTTTCAGGCTAGTAAGTCTGGTCTTTTTTTTGTGAGTTAAAATTTCATTCTACATTTTTCTCCAGCTCTGTCCAGAACCCTCTCTTGTGATCCCTGTCAGAATAGTCAGTGGTGGTAGCCAGGCACCATCTGGTTGTGCTGGACTCAGTCTTACGGAGGCTGTGGTAGTTGTGGTCCGTTAGTTCAATAAACACTTCTTTATATGGTCCCAAGACAATCTGTCTATGTCCATAAAAGTACTTAACGTGCTGCATTGTAGTGATTTATTTTCTCATTTCCTAACTGCTAAATATTTATTTTATGTAATTCCTATAACAACCGTGCAATATAAATGTTGTTATTCCTATTTTGTAGATGAAGAAACTGATACTAAGAGACGTTAAGTCACTGTCTAAGATCATGTAATTAGGAGGAGGTAGAATAAAAGTTTTGAACTTAGGCCTTTATAGCTGTTTAAGTCTCTAATATGATTCCGATTGCTGCAGAAGTTGCCTCCTTCTAGCCCAACCCATCTAGAAGGCTGGTGAGAAACTTCACTGGTAGCTCAGCATTCTGGGTTGGGAGACAGCTATACTCAGTGCCATTGTCCCAATGCCCTTTCCAAACTCCCAGAAGGTTCTAGATACTAGGTTGAGCAGACTTAGAGAGCAAGGACAGGATAAAAGAGTTTTTCCTGTCAGTCTTTTTGTTGAAATTAAATTTCTGGTCTAAAAGAAGTTTTGTTCGCAATTTCTCTGGGATTGATATCACTAGGAAGTTAGTTTGAATGTTTTCTCTTTGTAGCAACAGCATATATAAAATGTTCAAAGCTTATTTTCCTTTTTGTTGCTTTCCATTGCACAAAGTAGAAAGAAAATTATATGTTTAAGTTGTATTGAATGTTGTGAACTTGGTACTCTGAAAGCAATTTGTGTTTGCTGTAAGATTAAATCGTGATAGGATACCACCACAGGTTGTGGTAGCTTGCCCTTTATTTCCTCTCTTAAACCTGAGAAGCTCTTCAAACAGTAGAAAGACTAAGTAAAATCATTCCTTCTGCCAAGGAAATTGAAACACATAGTCCATTATCAAATGACTGTTATAATCATGGTTTTGAGTCTATTTTTCTCATCTAACTCTTTAATAGTGTGTTCTATATGATAAAATTATCATCAGATGTTTGTATCTGACTCTCAGATCTATGTCTCTAGCCTAGTTTCCTCTTCTTTTCTTCAGCTGCCTACTGAACATCGGTTTGAGTATCTCTCTAGTTACCCAAACCCTGGCCAAAGAGTAACTCATGTTTTCTTCCCAAACTTCTCCCTGTTCTGTGATTTCTATTCCCTGGTTCCAAAGCAGAATGTTAGATTCAGTTCAGACTCTTTTCATACTTTTTCTCTGCCCCACCAGTTAGCTGCTATGTTGTAGCAATTTTTCATCCATAATATATCTTAAATTTGTTATTTCTTTTTAATTTATTTTGCTACTACCCTTGCTCAGGCATTTATTATCTTCAGCCTGAGCTGCTGTACTCGCCTATACACTGTTCTCCCTTCTCCCTTCACTTCTTTTCCTTAGCATCATGACTGCAAGAGTAGTTTCCCTGAAGCCTGGTTAAGATGTTACCACTGTTCTCTACTGAGTATAAAAACAAGACCAAATTCCTTGGGCTATGATTTTAATCGTCTGCTTTAATGGCTTCCTCTTTACCAACTCTAGAGCCCTGGTGGCACAGTGGTTAAGAGATTGCCTGCTAACGAAAAGGTCAACAGTTGGAACCCACCAGCTGCTCCTTGGAAACCTTATGGGGCAATTCCACCCTGTCCTATAGGGTCACTATGAGTCAGAATTGACTCGATGGCAATGGTTTTTTTTTTTTTTTAACCAACTCTGTCCTTTATCCTAGCGCTTCCTAAACTTTCCTCATGATAAAAATCACTTGTGGCACTTTTTAAAAATTAAGATTCCTAGTCCCCATCCCAGACCTACCGAGTCAGCAATAGCATTCAAGGGAATGGTCTGGGAAGCTAGCCTTTAAATGAATTCCCCTGGGATTCTTATCAGGGAAACG